GCAGGAGCGCGTGTGCGGGCGGCCCCGGGCTCCGCTGACGCCAGCCCCGGCCCGCGCAGCCTCGCTCCGGCCATGACGTCACCGCCCCGCCCCCGCGCCCGCGCAGGTCGGCCGCCGGGATCCGGCCAGCCTCGTCCCTTCTCTGGCTCCGGGCTGGCGGGGGCGGGCTCACTCGGGAAGGGGCTTGACAGGCGTCGAGGGCTGGACCCCAGAGGGGCAGGGAACAGGGGAGGGTCGTGGTCACACCTGGGCCGAGGACCGATGCCTCCTGCAGGGGCTAACCTATTGCCATTCTCGCTGTCGCCCCTGCGACCCCGGCCAGTGCAGAGAGGGGCACCCCTCGGGGGCGTCGGTCCAAACGTAGGGGCGCCGGGAGCAGCGGGCGCCCTCTGTCCCAGAGTCCGGGACCCGGTTTCTCTGCTGGGTGGGCGGCAAAGTCACCCATCAGAGGACTTCTCTCCTACTACTCAGGCCCCAAACCCGAGGTTACCCTGGGATTCTAGCCTGGCCTGGCCACTGAGCACAGCCACTTCCTCGGGTGGGACAGCCCCAGACTCCAGGCTCAGCCCGGTTCCCCTCCCTCTCCGCGACCGCGACCGGACCTCGGCCTACTGGAGACCCCCGGATGGCCTCCCTGTCCCGTCCAGCGCTGACCTGCAAATGCGTCCCTCCCTACCGGCCCTTTGCCCGGGTTCCCATGTGCCTGGAGCCAGCTTTAGGCCCTACCGGCTGCCGCTGGACCAGCGCTAAGCCTTTCCCTTGGGCGCCTGCGCGGGTCCCGGGCAACAGCGACACAGCCTGGAGCAGCATGCTCAAGGCGTGGGGCCTCTGGTGAAAGGAACCGGGGTGGTGGGTGCCAATGCGTCCCAAGAACAGCAACAGGAGGCCCGCCGACTGGACTTGGGAGAGAACCGCAATGGGTGGGGTGCATCTGGAGGCTTGGTGGACGGAGGCAGCTATGCAAAGGCCCTGAGGTTGAACTGGCCCTGCCGCCTTCATGAAGAGTGGCTCCCAGGATGAGAAAGGGGTGCCTTGTGAGGTATGGAGCCCCTGCTGGGCTGCACCCAGGATACCCCCCAGCGGGAAGAGGCACGACCGGCAGCTTTGGCGTTGAGGGGACTGGGTTTCCAGGTGCAGTTCTGGTGCCAAGAGGAGCAGGCTCAGGGGCGCACAGGCCAGGGCCTGGTGTCACTCAGGGAGCTGGGAGCTGTAATTGGCTGCTCCTTTGCCCTCCCACTTGGGAGGGGACGAGGCCATGGCCAGGTGCTGGCCATGCCCTGGGGCCAAGCATGGGGAGGCCGGTGGGAGCGCATGACCCCACACCGCTGGCTGGTCCCCCTCGAGGTCCAGTAGGTGCAAGGGGAGCTGTGGGGGTTACCGCGCATACCAGGACCCCCGGCCCTGGGGGAGAGGTGCACACCACGACCCTCCCCCAGCCGATTCTCTGGGGACCTGAGGACCGCGGGAGGTGAGTCGTGAAGCGGGGGCCAGGACCGGGACTCGGCTGCCGCAGGAGGGGGCGCCCGGGAGCGCAGGCTCCGCCCCCCGCCC